TCCCACACTGCAGACACGTTTTCATGAACCACCGTATTCCCTTCTTTTTCTGTATATTGTGTGTTTTTCACAGGACGTTTCTCATTTGTGACTAGATGCCGAGGTTATTCCAGAAAACACAATTATACTTCAGGCATAACTGAACTACCATTTCTCAGGATTAACACCCACCACCATTGAGTTGATTCCAACTCATAGAAACCCAATAAGATAGAGTAGAACAGCCCTTTCTGGTTTTTCAGTGTTAAGTATATATTATAGGAGTTAGTCAATTTGAAAGTGCCCAAGAGGTCATATTTTAGGGTTCTCAAACTGGGTCATGACCCCTTTGAGAGGTCTAACGACCCTTTCACAGGAGCTACCCTATTCATAACAGTAGCAAAATTACAGTTAGGAAGTAGCAACAAAAATAATGTTATGATGTGGGTCACCACAACATGAGGAAATGTATTAAAGGGCATTAGGAAGGTTGAGAACCACTGACCTGAACCTAAAGTTCTTTAGGAAATAGGGTTTCAGAATTTAGATTTCCAGAGTTTAAAAAAGACAAACAAAGGCACGCCTTATATAAAACATTTCTGGCAGAGGCTGGGTCACCCGTATCAAGCCTATTGTATGTGAATATTCAGTAAGATAAAGACTGTTCATGTCAAACTGTACTCCCGGGTTAGCTTACTGAAAATCCAAAATAAAACAAGAACAAAATATATTTTCTATTATTCAGAGCTTTAAGGATTTCAGAGTTGTGACTTTGAATTATTTCTAGAGAAATATATCCAGGAATTTAAGGAGCTTGGGAATAAATTTGAGCGCACCAGTCATTTGTAAAAGGAGCCCAGATGGTACAGTAGTGAAAGCTCAACTGCTAACTGAAAGGTCAGCGGTTTGACCCTACCAGCTCTTTTGTGGGAGAGCGATGAGGCCCTCTGCCCCTGTAAAATGTGCAGCCTTGGAAACCTTGTCGTGCGACACCTTCACTCTTTAGTCACCATGAGTTGGAATGAACTTGACAGCAAAGTGTTTTAAGGGTTTGCGTTTGGGATAATTTTTTTTAAATCATTTTAAAATTAGGGAGGGGCTTCGTCTCAAGTTAAATGTATACATATATTGCTTTATAAAATGTATTATTTGTGTTACTTAGTATAATTAGTAACACCTACTTTAGATAATCTTTTTTTACGGAATTTTTTTACTACAGTATTAATATTTACCCATTTACCCATTTAGTTCCTCGATGAAATTTCATCTACTGAAACTAAAGAGTCCAGTGGTACAAGTGAGCCTGTGCACCTGAAAGAAGGGTAATCTAATGAACTTAGATGTTAAAGTATTGTTTCAGTGTAGATATTAAATAAGTACAAAGGGTTTGGGACTTGGAATGAGGATATTTGGGCTCATGCTCTGTGGTAGTACTGCCAGAGTCGTATGCTATGAGCCTTCCCTGTAAGAGAAACTATGTCTACTGGGCATAATTCCCTGGACTCAAAGTCCCAGAGCTGTTTATAAATCAGAGTGAGATTGTTGTTGGAGTACATTGAAAAAGTTACAGCACTTTACAGTCTTAGAGTGTCCATTTTGAAAGAGCAGAGGGAAAAATCACTTACTTGTCCACTTTTTGGTTGTATTTTTCGTAGCATAAATATTAATATAAATACTGAATTAATGGAAGACTTTATTCCTTAGTGTGGCCAAAATAAATGTATGAGTCATAAATGGGGAAGACATAACTCTTGTTATGTTTAACATGAATATTTAATCTTTATCGCTACATGTTTGCATCTCTTGTTTTGACAGTGAGATGTATAAAAGAGCTCAGGGAAGAACACGGATTGGAAAGAAGAATTTCAAGAAACGGTGGTTCTGCTTGACAAGCAGAGAGCTCACCTACCACAAGCAGCCAGGTAGTTGTGTTTAATACTGTATTAAGGGGTCACTTCTTGGTTTTAGGTGGTGGTTTCTTTTAGCTTCTTAATGTGATGCTATTGAATCTTTGGACTGAAACTATAGTGTGTAGGTTTCTCACGGTGGAATGCACTCAGTAAGAATGTAAACTTGTAAATTAAATTTTTTTCTGTGTTGCTATTACTGACGTTCCTACAGTGTTCGTCATCATCTGTTACAAACAACATAAGGGTCAGCAGTTAGAGCAGAACTTGGAAATGTTTTTAACCCTCAGAGCCAAATTAGCAGGAATTAAAACTTAAAAAAATATTTCAAGGATTTTCTGGAAAATACTAGCCCCAAATTCCCACAGTAATACCTTAGATTATGATCCTTATACAGTTAGCAGATTTCTCCTAGTCTGTGGATCAAGCTAATTTTTGTTTATTACTTCTTTAGACTGGCTTACCCATAATGGCTACATATATTCAAATGCATGAGTAAGTCATAAGAAGCAAAATGCATTATTTTAAATCCTTCAAGTGATTTGTTATGGCATATAAATGTGTAAATGACTAAAGATCAAGAGGCTAGGTACTTGCCCTTCCAAACATGCATAAGTGTATTTTTAGAAGCTATAACTTACATCGATTAATATGTAGATGCTTTCACCTGTGTGTGACAGCGTTTTATATTTAAATGTTCTCACCTGTGTCTAAGTATTAAAAGTAGCTGTCATAAAATGCCAATTATGTTTACATTAACAGTACATTTGAATCAAATTTAAGTTAGTCATGTACCACAAATTAGATTAATTCTTTTTCCTCATTAAAAACATTTTCTAATCTAATCTGGTATCTAAAAATTTTTCTTGGTTCACAGTCTCCTTTAAAAATAGAGTAAGAACTATGGACCTTTTCCTTCAGAAAAATACAGAGACATGAAATTTTGTTTATAATGTTAAAGAGTTCATAGATTCAAAGTTTATCTGTAGTTCTTAAGAACCTCCATTCTTTACAGTGATCCTAACAGGATGAAATTCTATCAAATGCTTTAGGTGCAATTGGTTATTTTGCTCAACTGCTTCTTGAAAGATTGGTGGATCAAGTTCGTGCTGGGGTGTTTTGGAATAAAGGTCTGACTATCTGCTCCAAAAAATCAAGCCTTTGAAAACCCTATGGAGCACAGTTGTACTCTGACATATATGGGTCACCCTGAGTCAGAATCTGATGCGAGAGCAACTTAGATAATAAATAGATACGGTATTTTCAGGTTTCTAGAAATTGAACACGTTGGATTGGTATTGGAAGAATAAGCTCCAGCCCGTGAAGTTTCAAGGTTATTTTCAACAGCCTTCAATTGAAGCATCCATACTTTTTGTTTGAACAATTTTGATGGATTTTTCTAAAATGTATTGCATGCTTTGCTGCCTTCTATAGAAAGAGTTCATTGAGCGTAAGTTACCATTTCCTAGATGACTTGGGTTCTCACGGTAATACTGTTAGATGGTGCTTAAAGGGGTCCGCATCTTATTTCCTCCCCAGCTAAATGCCTTGAACTGCTGAGCTGCTTGTCTTCCCATGTTTGCTTTATACAGTTTCCCTTTGTCCCCTGAAGCTTTATAAGTTTTTCCTTCATCATCAGACTATCACCTTAAATTTCCTGTGCTTTCAATGAACTGTAATGTGACAGCTCACATCATCTGTACTCGCCGCAGTTTTTACTGCTACTGTACTAGGAGTGAGGATAACAGACGTCTATTAAAATCCTGCCTAAGATTAAAAGACCGGGGGACTTTGGGACTTTCCCCTATGGCTGAAATACCTAGGCTTTGCAGGCTTTGCATTCTCTTTGGTCATTCAATGAGTGTGTAGCTTACTCTCTTTCCTAGATACCCATGCTACTACTAGTCTCTTGAGATTCATGTAACTCACTATGTATTATATACTCACTGCCGTCCAGTCAGTACTGACTTTCCGAGACTTTAACTGTTTACAGGTGTAGAAAGCCCCGTCTGGTTACATATATCATACATATTATACATGCGATACAAATAAGGATATCTTTTCGGGGGTGG